ATGAGAAGAAACAAATAAATAGGAATCAAGGTAATAAAGTTTCAAATGGGGGAAACAAAAAAGCAATAGAGCCACACTACCGCAAACTAAGAATTTGGGATTTTCACTGTACTTCACTACAGAGCACGCCCAGCGCCTCGCTGCTTTCATCCCAAGCTACTGAAGACAGTGCCTACAAAAACACAGCCATGGTCAGATGTGATGTGCGTGGAAATCACACAGTATCTCTTTTACTAAGCACAATCTGTTTACTGCTCCCAGCTGAGCACTGAATCACAGATGTGCAGAACAGTTGAGGTTGGAAGACACCTCTGGAGGTCTTCTTGTTCAGGCACAATTGCTTTATAAAAATCAAATTAAGGAAAGAGTCACGCATATTCTTTCATTTTGTTTAATCTGCTCAACTTCTTAAGACAGCAGCCACTCTGCATCTTAATAATTTTGAACTTACTCACTAGAAGCTTCACAAATTATCTCAGCAACTCATTCACTTAACAAATCTTGCTAAGATTTTCTCTATATTGAACTCGCACCAGCGTCTTAAACCTCTCACTACTTTGCTCCTGGGGAACAATGAAACTGTGCAGGAGGCAGGGAATACAGAGACAGAGGCACGCTGGTTTTAAGATGAGTTTTACTAGTTAACTCACTGCATCCCCTGCAAACAGGCAGGCCTTACTTAAACCAGAGCAGCTTTTAGTTAGCAAGTCCCTCGTCCTCCAAATCCTAAGAAATCAAGGTGGGCTTTGACACCTTTTAACACACTGGATCAGTTTTGTTTTATTTTACATCTTCAGGTACCAAGTGGCACTTCTGGTTTTCCATATGGAGCTGTGTTAGCAAGTGGAAGTGGAATTTGTACCAGCTGTTCCAGACTAGGAGGTTTTGCTCATCACACTGTATTCCAGCAGAACCAAATCAGCTGCACTTCGGCAAGCCTTTATGTGCTGATTAAGACAACACGACTGGCTAGAAGACAGAGAAACTGCCTGTATGCGCTCTGGTAGTTAGCTGGGCAGTTTTAAATTTCTATTCTTTGGCTCAGAGTGCATCAATATGGTGCCTGAGCCTCTACAGAAGGCTAAAGAAAAGCTGTTAGCCTTGGAATGTAATCATACGCCTTACCATCACCGAGCGTATCTTCCCTCATTCACCACCTCTCCAAGCACCTATTCAGCATGAACAGCAGAAAGGGAATCCTGGCTGGTCTTCCATCAGGAGAATTACTTGGAGAAATAACAGATGTTCTAGAGGGACACCCAGAAGAAGTTTAGACTCTACGTCCAATCTGGAAAGAAAACAAGGCTTTAATTAAGATTCAATTTTAAAATCAGACATCATCAAAGTAACTTCTCACGGAAGACCTCCTGGCAGCACCATGAAGTCAAGCACACCAACCATGCACAAACATGCCTTGCACAAAGCTGCAAGTAGTAGAAATAAAAAAGAACTTCATAGAAAGCTTAACTGACTTTCACCAAGGGCTGTCCTGTAACCGGGTGTTCATTCAGATTAAAGTATTGTGACAAAAAAAATAAAGAGCAATAACTAGTCCTGAACAATGCCTCCCACAGACAGTTTTTCCCAGCATTATCGTACCTTAAAACATATTAAGTTAACAGAGAAATGGAATTGGAGCATCCATAACCAAGATTATTACAGACTAATTCCACAGGTAGAGAAGCACTTGTGTAAAATGTCCCACCCATAAATAAAACCAAGGAGAAACATCAAATGCTGAGCTCAAAAAGGTCATATGTAAATCCGCTAATAAGATTCACTGAGATCAGGCATCAGCTACCAGTATGTCAGTGGCTCTTCCTCATACACGTAAAGGTCTCTGTGAAGCCTACAGAACCCCAGAGCTGCAGGCCACGGCCAGCAACAAAATGTTTAACTCCATGTCAGTGCAGGTGGAAACGCTCCCTTGTAATAACCACCAGAAGTTTGGGAGAAGGAACTGACACATTAGAGAAATGGGGCACTACAAGCCCCATCCGAGCAGGAATCACATACTCAGCAGGTGCCAAACGATTTGAGAGAGAGGACAGCACGCCTGACCTGCAGTTTAAGTGTTGAGAAGGAACACGGGGTTTATGCTTTGACGTCCGCCCGCCTCTCTCCTTGAACAACCAGCACATTGCATCCCACAGCTCAGCAGGGCAACACCTCAGCTCTCGCTGATTCAGAAGCGTTCCCCCACCTCTCTGAAAACATCAGGGCCTGAATGGTTTAATACCTGAGGGCGTCCCCGTGGATAAGGAGTGTCGGCCACCTGACTAACCCACACCTGAGGCCTAGCAGGCCTTCCACCATCAATTAAATATCTCACAACTTGAAGCTATTAAATTTCACTTTTTTATGAGATGCCAGCAAGGAAATTTGAAGATACCAGCTCATAACTGCATTAAGAAATGCTCACACACAGCAACCTTCAAATCACACCTAGCATTTCTGAAAGCACGTTACCTTTAGTTTTACTAATAAATCTCAAACGTGCCTCTTACCGCCAAACATAAATCTGGTATCACCAGTCACCTGGCCGGCAGTGTAAGCCTTTGCTGGGTTTCTGACAAGGAAATTTGAAGATACCAGCTCATAACTGCATTAAGAAATGCTCACACACAGCAACCTTCAAATCACACCTAGCATTTCTGAAAGCACGTTACCTTTAGTTTTACTAATAAATCTCAAACGTGCCTCTTACCGCCAAACATAAATCTGGTATCACCAGTCACCTGGCCGGCAGTGTAAGCCTTTGCTGGGTTTCTGAGAGGAACCCCAGGGCTGGGGCTGCTGCAGCACTGCAGGCAGCTGTGCTGGAGCTGGTGGCAAGCCAGAATCTGTCAAATCAACCGGGATTTCAAAAACCCTGATTGTTTCTCATAACTCATCCCGAACTAGGCCGTTTTCCCCCCATCCTTTCCAGGGAGAGGACCCAGGGCCGGGCCGGTGCCGGTAGCTCGTTCCGCGGCGTGCTCGGCTCCAGGCCTGGGAAGCATGGCCTGGCGAAGGGTGAGGGGACGCTCTGGGAGGCGGTCACGGCTCCCTCCCCGGCCCGCCCGTATCCGTGGCCCAGCGCCCCGG